GATGTAGCCTTGCCCGGACTGCTGCCGCGGTCTTCTAAGTGTGAGCACCGCTGCTTTGTTCCTTGTTATTAGTACGATATTGCGAAACCTTAGCTTTGGCAGCCTGCGGAGGCGCTTCATACTCATGAGGATGATCTGTGCTGATTTGTCTGGCATAGATTCTGTCATCTTGCGCTTGGGCCTCCTGCTGGGCCATCTGAGTAATAAGTTCAGCATCTGTATAGACAGCATTAGCAATGCTGTAGGCGAGTTTGGTATCTTCCAGGAGCTGCAAATGGTCTCTGATTTCCGATAAGTAACTAGCACAGGCGACGTTGTGGTCTGGAACCTTGTCGGCAGGGTATTTGCCTTTATTCGACGTCTCACTGTGGTATGTTATTTCTTCGAGTTGAAAGGTTAGAGCAGTAATGCAGTCATCGAGGTAGCTTGGACAGCTGAGTTCGTCGGTGGGACTGAAAGTACTCATTTCGGATATAAATCTATGTGCCGATAGCTCAGTAAGAGCACAAGTTGCAGTTCTCAATATATGTAAGAGAAGTCGATATCCCTATCTGTACGTCACTATGCCTCTCTTAATCTCTGGGCAAGGACAGCGTTTAGTATCACTCACAGTTCGACACTCGGCACAGTCAGTTTCAAATTGAGCAGTAGAGCAACCAGTACTCAAGGAATTTACCCCGAAATCTTGCAGATTGATTGTGTCAAGCACACATATTGGCGAAACTGTCTGAAGTGATGCAGTGATGGTCTACGATGCTAATAGATGCTGAGTGCACTAACGTAATCTCAGAGATTCATTGGCTAAGTTAGCCGTGCGGCGAAAATGTGAACGAATATCAGTTAACGTTACCCTTCATTTGCCTGAGCCCGTACTGTAGGATCCCAGCACTTACTGGATGGAGGAACTTTAGTACTGTTCTATTGGCGCGATCATGTCCGTGGCTCACAAGATAAGGTTCAAACAGCCAAAAGAGACAGCCAAGAGGCCGCGCGGCCCCAAAAACTGGTAGGACATACGATTAATGAAGCGGAGATTTGCAGTATGTTCAGACAGCGTAACAATCTGTGTTCAGATCTCACGAGAGGAAGTATCGTGGCGAAGTCTAAATGGGAGCCTCGAACCTTCATGGTACTTATCTTCTACTGTATCCTCGTTCATCATAATGATTTTCATGCCATTTTATAGAAGAGCTGCCTTGTTTTATATGTCACTAGTACGCAATTTGCTAATGTCGTTCGATACTTCGTAATGTATTGCCGAGTGATGGGCGGCTACATGGCCATTCTAATCGGTAATTCCACCTAATGCGGGCCAGTAGAATGTCTAGGCCAAGTGTTATGCACTCCTACGTCATGAGCATGACGGCAAAAACTAGAGTATGATCGATGCGACCATCCGACTCATTCCACCTTTGCGGCGTATAGTCACGAACGATTACGGCTTCACCCTGACGCGTAGCTGCGTAACAAGTTTGAAAAGTCCCACCTTCTGTATATAGCTTAGTACAAGAAATCATCTACAGAAAAATCCAATGTAGTTGATCAATCCTAAGGTTTGCAAGCTTAATAAGCCCCCTTCGTTGGAAGGCAGGAGCGACTTCATTCATTCAGGGTTACGGAGGCGGTCCGGTGGGGTTACGGCGGGCACTGGGATTGAAAATACTTCATTGCATTTTGCACTAATGCAGACCCTGAACAGGCCGGTGGTAGATTGAGGGCTATGCAGTAGCGTATGCCATCATTTGTGCCCGCTTGATCAAGATTTACCTACTGTTGGGGTATTTGTTCACCGAAAGTGATAATTTAAGGAGTCCACTACCTTCTCAACTCACTCTCACATCTGTTTACATTCAGGCGTTTACCACAGCCTTCACGTTTGCCCCATGGAATTATCTCTCTTCATTGCTATAATCACTCTTGCTCTCGCTAGTCCGGCTTCAGCAGGTCCAGCCGCCTACGGAGTGTGTCAGGCGGGTTGTTCTGCAATAGTCATGGCATGTTACTCTGCAGCTGGTTTTACTTGGGGAGCTACCCTCGGTGCTTCCGCACCTGCTAGTATCATTGCCTGCAATACCGCCTTTGGTACTTGCCAGGCTGCCTGCGCCGCTGTGATTCTGACTCCAACGCCGTAGAAGGTACGACAAGACGCCAGCTATTTTTTGTGTATCTATTGCAGGAGCCCTCCCCATCGCCACTAACGATGAGTGCTAATTCCTCAATCTTTCAAAGGAGATATTCAACGTTCATGTACAGATCTTATGCGACGAAATAACAAAAAAAAGATGAGTATGAAAAGCAAGATAAAAGAATCTCAATGTGCGTTGTAGAGGTCGCCTAGATCATATCAGAGATTAACAAATCCGACAAGCAATCTGAATATTTATCATCTTGATTAGATAGTTACGTCTTTTTTTTCAGATGCAATTATTGATTACACCACAGTATGAATAGTTGGTGCACCTTATCCGAGTTGGCACTGGTGCGATTCGCTCATACTGTCTACTAACTAACAGTGAAAGACCACAAGACTGGAGTATTGCAAATCTGATTCATTGCAGACAGCCAGACTGATTTTCGAGTTTGAGTCTTTTGAGATGGGCGATCGGTTGTAGACAACAATCTCAGTTAAATACCGCTCGCTGCGTTTCTTCAGGCGGAATTACAGTAAGAAGCTATACTAAAGTAGGACTTTACAAATTTCAGTCGCTGTAGCGATCCGACTTGTGCTAGCATTATAAGCGTTCCCAAAAGCTGGTCATAAGTTTTAGCAAGCTGAACCAGTTGGTAGAAAGAGATTGCTCAGCACCACATGCAAAGTTTATAATAATAACCCTTTGCACGTGCCAAGACATTCGCCATTCTTGCACGCATAACAGTGCCAAAGCGGGGTTCAAAACACTACCCATGCCACTTCACCAGCCCACTTGTCACGCGATCTCCCACCGATCAAAACGTCATGGCTGTAATTTCTTCTAAAGTAATTATAGTGCAACATATTGCAACCCCGAACGCACTCGATACGCTTCTTCAAAGCTTCGATGGATTGCCAAACAACCCCGCGTCCCTCTACCTCTCTACAACTGCTCAGAATCTGATCGTTTACGCTATCCCAACGTGTACAGTCAGCGCAATCAGCCTTCCATATCTCGTTGAGGCCTTACGCCAAAAGGAGAAAAATGCGTCTGCCTTAAAAACCTTCTCGAGGCTGGTGCAATGACAAAGGTTTTTTTCGATGCACGTAAGACAGCAAAGATTCTCTTCAGCAAATGCGCTATCAGATTGTCTACTCCGGTTTGCTTTACTTGATATAGCGCTCAAATAAGTACTAAAAGTGGACTGTAGACTTGCACCGTACGTACTCACATTCACGAGGTGCAGATGATGGAGCTTGCGCTGCGCCGAAGAGGTATGGACCGCATGTGGCTTGCAGGGTTTGGCCGGTGCATTTCCCGGGACTCAAATCTTGACATGAACATGCTCGTGTTTGAAGGCTTTGGCAGAATCGATGATTTCGACGAGCGGATTCTGCATTTGCCGGTTTTGTGGAAGAAATACCACGATCGGTTGCTTGCAAACCGCAATGGAGTTGGCGGACCGTTTTGGGTAGCAAGAATTCGTGATGCAACACAAAAGCGACTGGCAGTATCCTGTGGTGAAACTCATCGAGGATATAGCATCGACAGAGCCAAGAGTACTTGGGACAGAGAAAGCATAGAAGAGCAGACTGATTCCTGGAATGATGATGTTATGATGGATGCCATCACTGGTGGCGAGTGGCTGGGCGGTGCAGAACACTGGGCAAAGTCTGACATGCTGTAAACTTAATTGTTCACACAACACACCGTAATAAGAAGCTGTTAGCTTGTTATCTGAATTCATCAGGGCGAGGAAAGATTGATTAGGATACAATGTTGACTTGTTGAATTAACCCGTTTATCAAGAATTTTGCCATTGCTGTACTGTTGTGGAGTTGCTTATGCCTTCGATTGTCCTCATTCTTTGGACATCTTTTTTGGTAACTCTGCGTTTGCGATAGCATGGACAGCAATTACTTCGTGAACTTTGTCGCAGAAAAACCCTGCAGCGCTAACGCAAAGCGGGTGTTGCGACATGTCATGTTCGCAAATAACCAAACACAGCTTAGCGCATCAACGGTCACTCAATATGCACCCTTGTTTTATATCTACAGCCTGCCTGCGGCCTTGCGTTCAAAGTATGCTGTCAGCTTTCCTATTGGCACACCAGCAGCAAACGCCCACCGATAACGTTCCATGAAAGCGACAATCTCTTCGTCCATCTGCTGCATTACCCTCTGCTTGTGGTCCTCCAGTTCTTGGCCCGTATGAGCCAGACGCATCTCGGACTGCAGCTCGACCTCGCCGACCTCGTGCCCAAAGTCCATCGCGTCTAGTACGATCGAGAACCTCTCGTCCGCCAGCCACGTTCTTCTTGTCGTGCACATGGTCGCAATGCGATCAAGACCGAAAAACTCGCGCTCGCTGCATACTCGCCCCGTAATGATGCGTACCTGCACCTCAATTTCGCGAGGGTCAGACAACTCCTCGAACCTCGAGTTTTGGAAGTTGCCAACCTTTCTCACTTTGGCCTCCCATTGCCCGTTGCGTAGCCTGACCCACACACCTGCTGCTGTGAGTAGTCTAGCTCGGTCAAAGTAAGTGCCGCTAAAAATGCGCTGGCTTTGTGGCTGGATGCTCCGGAATGGCGGGTTCCCGACGTGAAGGGTAAGATCCATGACTGCGAGCCCGCAAAACTTGCGCTCCACCTCCAGAAGAAAGGGTTGAGATATGGCTTTTGGAAACATAGAAAACGCTAGCATATATGGCTGCAATATTCAGCCAGAAAAACGTATATTGTGGGTGAGAAGCTGGGTAGTGGTATCAATCTTTAAGAAAACTGGTTTTAGCTGCATAAGAAGAAACCATTGGTAACAGTCAGGTAACCAGGAAATATGCCTCCTATTCTACACGCCGTATCTTCCCACTATTTGTTTAATATGTACCCTCTGTTGTCTTAACGAGAAGATGTGCCAATTCCGTATTATGTAGACTGTTCAATAAGATTTTGTACGAGATCTCCGTCTCTCCGTTCGTATCAACCTAACTACCGTTTAGCATTAATAAAAATTATACGATGCATCTTACCTCGAGAAGAAGGTTTCGTTCATTGTACATTTTAAAGATCTAAGGGTTCTCCACGGCGAACTCATCGTATCTCTTCTGGAAGACGACCGCATCATCTGCTTCTCTTCCAGGTAGGTTTCGCTTGAGAAAGCGATTTTTGGCGACCTCTTCTCGACAGTTGAAGAACAGGACCAATGCTGGCGAGCCGATCTTCCCAAGTAAGTATGCTGAGGGAGAGCATCAGCAGTTGGGCACACTAACTTTCTCTTCCACAGGCATAGCCTGATCTGACTGCCTCGGCAAACCATCTACCAGGATCACGTGGCGGCCGCTGTATACATTTTCCTTGACGCTGTCTTGGAGAATACTGACCAACACCTCTGTGGAAACGAGCTCGCCTCTTTGCACCTGAGATGCCGTAACTAGGTCCGTCATCGAGTTCGAGACAAGTCTCCTCAACGTATCTCCAATAGACAAGTGACAGAATCCATATTCGTCAGAAAGTCTTCGGCACAGCGTGCCCTTGCCAGAACCAGGAGCTCCTGTAAACCTTAGTCGCGTACTTAAAATCTCGCACACTTACCAATGACGAATACGACAGTTGTTGCAGTAACCTCCATCGCAACTTAGAAGGATATCAGCCTGGGAAAACAGCCTTATGTGACAAGAGCTCACAGCCCTCCCTTTATGCCTCCCAAAAGCGGAGTTGTACCCATGTCATTGCTAAATAGCATCAACGGGCGTCACTAAATTCGATGGCAGCAAGTGAACATCTTCAGCACTCGACCTGCTTCCTCCATTCCATTTCTTGTTTCACGCTCCAAACATGGATTTCGTCTCAATCTGCTTTGGACTACTGCTAATCGGTATCGCGTTCGTATACCTGCGTTACAACAATCATCGCACCGTATGCCCTGTGGCTGTCAACTATCACTTTACGAGGCGCTGCAACAAAACGTGTGGATTCTGTTTCCACACCGCCACCTCCTCTTTTATGGAAAGTTCTGATCGCGCAAAGAAAGGGCTTCTATTGCTCAAGGAAGCAGGCATGCGAAAGCTGAATTTTGCTGGCGGGGAGCCGTTCCTTTATCCAAAGTTCCTGGCAGAGATGGTGGTCTTCTGCAAAGATGAGTTACAACTCGAGTCGGTCTCCATCGTCACAAACGGAAGTCTTGTCAAGGAAAGCTTCTTTCGGCAGTGCGGTTCCAAAATCGACATATTGGCGGTCTCATGTGATTCGTTCAACGAGTCTACGTCAAAGATGGCCAGACGGTGTTGGGTGCGAGGTGGTGCGGTGGATCATCGCGCATAAAAGAAAAAACAGCTTCCACGGGTAGTCGTAACACTGAAAAACTAATTAATATACAGTTTCATATCTAAGTAAATAGTCTCACGAATTTCAGCAATTTTTTCTATCGCGATAGTGTTGATACTTCGATATTCTCTGTAGGTGCGTAACCAAATCTTGGAAGTTCGCGCACGGGTCTGATGCATCACTGAAAACGAGCTCCTTCGTAGTGTTTCAGTGGCGGCGGAATTAACTAGTTGTAAGAACGCTACGTCCGACCCGGCAACACTCTCAGCGGAAGATCTCCTATTTGCCAAGAACTGCCAAGCAACAACAAATCAACACTGTTTTCACGAAACCCACCACTCTCATCGCTGCACACGTTACCATGGCCATGTCGCCGCCGACATCATTCTCTACTATCAACGGCAAGAGCACGCAAATCTCCTCCTGGCTCGAAGAACTACCCCCGACGCCCCCAGCAGACGAAGAATGCGGGCTACTGAAGCGCAAGCGTGCCATTTCAGAGCCGACAAGCGTACACCAGTTCACCACCATGTCCACACATCGGGGCGTCAGCCCTAGCAAACGTCAGCGACGGGACTCGGACGACTTGCGACCGGAGCAGAGCGTATCGGCTGTTGGGTCAAATGCCCGCCCGCTCATCTTAGGCAGTTCAACCACTTTTAGCCCGCCCGGCAGTCGTGTAGGCGCCTCGACGCCACGACGCAGTAATAGCCCATTGCGCGAGACAATTGCTGCTCTGAGGGTAGCAACCCCTTCGATAACGACGGAACCGCTGGACGGGGTGGAGTTGGAACCTCCTGCGCAGGTCATGGCCGTAGTAGCGCGGCTCGAGAACGGACTGGATCAGGGCTGGATACCGGGGTGGCTGGAAGTGCGTACCCGCCTTATGTCACTGCTAAATCTGGCTAACTTATCTCAGGAACTAGTTAGAGCTGATACAGATATCGGTTTCCAAAGATTTAAGCCTATCGCATTTAGCAACACTGCCACCCGCGATCTCTCTGACCCTAGCCTTGACTCTGCTGCCCGTGCTGAGTTAGAATACACCTTAAGGAAAGTAAAACAGATATATAAGAAAGCATTGCATTGCCAAACAAGAGGCCGAGATGAAAACGCATGGTGCGACGACGTAATTAGGCCGATGGTGAAGCTGGCGCTCCGGTTGTACGCAAAGGGCAAGCTCTCTTTGCAGAATGTGTATTTCTACCCTAGCTAATCCGCTTAAAAGTGCTAGTAGGCTGACGTGTTTGATATTGTAGGCAGTCTCAGAGCATTGATATTGAGTTCCTATCGCGCGCTACTGATGCATCTGGCAAGCAGCGCATCCTTGATCGAAAGGCTGATTATACCCTCTCCTACTCGCATGACACGTCACCTTTCGAAGCTCTATATGCACGCCTTCTGCAGCACAGAAACCAGTGTATTAGCCATACGACTGACGCCTTTACCAAAACTACAGCTGTCTTTTCTGGGGTAGAGGTCAAGCCCTCTGACGGCGACAAGCTTGAGGCCGAATATCAGCTTAGTATATGGATAGCGGCGAATCTGCGTAAGAAAGCGAAACTAGGGCGACGTGTAGGGCTGCCCGACACGACCTACCTTATAGAGCCAGGCTTTACTATTGTAGGACACGAGATGTATTTCTATATCGCGTACATGGATTCTAGACAAGGCGAAGCGGTGCGTATCCTAGAGTTTGGCAATGCCGCAACTAGTAGTATGTCAGGCGCTTTTAAACAGCTTAGGATGTGGCGGAACGTCATAGAATACGGCCTTGACGAGGGCCTCGATGGTTTCTGGGGCAGATTTCTGAAGCCTGTATTGGAAAGATTAGCAGCTGGAGACGAATAGATCTCGCTGATAGTGACGTTAGACGAACTACATGCCAGCTTGCTGCGCTGCGATGAGTGACGCTAATGACTGTTTGGAATGTTATCGTTCACATCTATCGTAATCTACCGATGCGGGCTAGCTTGCAGTGCACAATGGTCATTACCCCACTAATACTGACCAATCGTGGAAGCATACATCTAAGCGACACTGCAGGAGAATCTCAGCCATTTAAAACGAAGTCGCTTGTGCGATATGCACATAATGAGTTTGGGTTAACTACATGTTGGGTTGGAAATACACGACACTAAGCAGCTCTTTGCATGTAGACGGGGTTTATTTGGGCCTTCCCACCCTCGTATTTAGTAGGTAATGAGAGCGCTTTTTTGAGTGTGATGGGAAGGCAGCATTGTGATGTAACTACACCAGCGCCTCCACGTCATGCATATATGCGCCGAGACTGGTGTAAAGGCTCTCCCCACATGACAAGGCATACAAGAAGCACTTCGATTTTCTTACGAGTCAGTTTTCATAGCGAGCTTCTCGTGGTTCCGTACAACTGAGCACAAGTATAGCCAGATAGCCGATGACTATTGATCACTGGCAATGAAACTGTTCTATAATAGCAGCCTAGCCCACATTTTAATTTTGAGAACAATCAAAGAGATCATAGTTTGCTTTTTACTTGCTCTTGATACCTTGCTGCATCTCAATTCCCACATCTTCACTCCTGCAGTACTTCTACCTAGTTACATACAGTCTTCACCGATCAAGCCATGATCGAACCACTCATATCTAGTGCCGAGGGCAGCAACATTTGGATAATTCATCCCTCCAATTCCCTGAACTGTAGTAACTGGATACCGGAGCTGCTGCATAAAAAGAAAGAAAGATAGTAAGCGCTTCGGCTTTCCCCTAGCATAAGCTGCGGCCACTCACAGCCCGCATTCGCTGCTGCTCTGACACTTTCCAGCTACGTGGCTTGCTCCACCCATCGCACATTCTCAAGTAAATTACATACAAGGAAGGCTCATATATAGCGCAATCCAAGTCTCTGGAATGCGGATAGGCTCATATCTGATCTATCATCAGCTGTCTTTATGGTTAAGCTGCACAACCTGGCGTAGAAAAGATGTACGTAAAGCAAATAAAAGATTAGGATTAATGCAACATGCAGTATTAGAGCACAAATAAGACAGCACTAGCAATTGGTACTGTGCACATGCGGATGTTGATCGAAGTGTACTGCTTAGCGCCCGATCCCAGTCCCCACCTAGCTGTGTTCGGGTATCCACAGTGCACCAGTACCAGACTACGGTTAGCTTGTGCGACGTTCAGCTTGCAGCTCCCTTACCAGACTGATGCACGTCAATCAACCATGCAGAGAGTTGGCCATAGGCTAGGGGGCAATGTCTTCGCATGCCGCATGCAACGAGGTAGCAGACCTACCCATGATGGCGAAGGCTAACCTATGCTTTTTTTTGGAGACATGAGAGGCGGGAGTTTAGCTCCAACTCTGTGCTAAGAAGGTAGATCTGATGACTGTTAGTTTCCACCTATCATTTCGACCTTCGAGGTTCAATAGTTTTCTGTGTTGGGCTGGGCCCTGAGACCAAACCTTTGAAACAATCATTTCCTCAGTTCACCCACCATAGACATAAAGCGCGCATCGTACGAGATCTTCATTCACATCCACAATGGTTACCAAATCATTCGACACCCGTGTCGTGCATGAACTCTGCTCAAAAGATCAACTAGACTTGCTGGACTCTGTAGATCGTCTACGCTCTCAGGGAATCGACCATTATGTCTCTCTGCCACAGATCATCGTTTGCGGTGATCAGTCTTCCGGCAAAAGCTCTGTCCTTGAAGCTATCTCCGGTGTCTCTTTTCCGGTCAAGAGCAGCCTATGTACTCGTTTCCCAACCGAATTAGTCTTACGAAAGACATCAAAGATCGGCGTCAGCGTCTCCATCGTCCCAGATCGCTCGCGTAGTGAAGTAGAGCGCGAATCTCTTAGCAGTTTTCGCGAGACGCTCGACAGCTTTGCTGCACTCCCAACATTGATCGAGAATGCCAAAACAGCCATGGCCATTGGAAGTCTTGGTCGAGCTTTTTCGAAAGATCTCTTACGGGTTGAAGTGTCGGGTCCTGACCGACCGCATCTTACGATTGTAGACTTGCCGGGCCTTATCCATTCAGAGACAAAGCAGCAATCTGCAGCTGATATCGAACTCGTACAAGATGTCGTCAAGTCGTACATGAAAGAGCCCAGGAGCATCATCCTCGCGGTTGTATCTGCAAAGAACGATTATGCCAACCAGGTTGTGCTGAAGCTCGCCCGAGCTGCCGACAGAACCGGAACTCGCACGCTTGGTGTGATCACCAAACCTGACACTCTGGTTCCAGGATCTGACAGTGAAGCCATGTACATCTCGCTCGCTAAAAACCTTGACGTGGAGTTTCGTCTTGGATGGCACGTTCTCAAGAACATGGATTCGGAATCTGGATCCGGGACACGTTCAAATCGTGATGAGGAGGAAAGTCATTTCTTTTCCAAAGGCATATGGCCCACGCTGCCTGGATCTATCCTGGGTATCGTGCCATTGAGAGAGCGACTGAGCAAACTCCTTCTTGTCCAGATCGCAGCGGAACTCCCGAGTCTTGTGGAAGAGATCGAACTCAAGTCTGCCGCTTGTCGTACTGGACTCGAAAAGCTGGGCCAGCCTCGGGCTAGTATCGAAGAACAACGCCAATATCTAATCACCCTCAGCCAAGCATGCCAAGCCCTCACCAAAGCCGCTGTCGACGGGACCTACAACGACGACTTCTTCGGTAACGCGAAAACTGACGTTGGCTACCAGAAACGCATTCGTGCTGTGGTACAGAACCTCAATCAGTCTTTTTCAGAGACAATGGC